AAATTACAATTAGCCCTAGCCCTAAGATATAAAACAGCAAGCAACGTAGTTAGAGACATGAATAAGTGATGATTGCACTGTTTTTCCCATTTTTACGTCCGTCCGCGGATCTGCTTTTTTTTTCTGTCTGCCAGCGCATGTGCACTGATGTGGATTTTGAGGAAAAACGTCCAAAAACGTACGAAATAGTGTGCATAACTTTTCGTACGATTTCATACACACTCATAATGAGAATATGTTGGTCTATCTATGTGTTTTGACTTATATTGTATTATGTGATCTTGTGTTGTTTTGTCTTCCTGCCTCAGGACGACAGATGTAAATTACCAACTAGGCTATAATCTTGCTCATTTGCAATCTGTACTGAAGTAAAAGATTGTTTATTAATGTGCACTGTCCTGATTTAAAAAAAAACAAAAAAAAACAAAAAAAATGTTACCCTACTTTAAACTTCGACACTACTTCCTCCCTTTTTGTACCATGTAATGTTAGTATGTATATATGAATTTTTGTGTGAGGGTCGGACCTTGGCAGCGGCCCAGATACTTGACTTCGATGCGCTCCTGCTTCTGACAGGACGCCTCCTTCACCTGGCAGGGATTGTCGTAGGAGCGGCCGTCAGAGGCACACACCGGATTGAAGCTGATGTGAGAGCAGTCGATGTTGCAGACGCACCTGAGGAGCAAGAAATCACATTACAGCTCAATACCTCCAGTTCTTTAACATGCTGATACATATTTATAAGGGTGGATGCAGAAATGCCAATGAGAGCATTTAGATTCTGCAAACTGTTTAAATGCATGAGAGCCACAGCTGATGGACAGGAGGATTAGAGGCAGAAAAAAGAAATAGCAGGAAAACTTGCGCTCAGTCAGAACCTTGGACCATGACGCTAATCCTGTTCAAACTGCGTTTCAGCTCATTCGCTTTCACACAATACAAAAATGAATTTTACTGTTTTACTGTGCAAAGAGGGGCCCAGTTGCACCGGAGGGCTGACAGACAAATGATGTTCCCGTTCTGTGGCAGGAAGCAATTAACGATGAAAGAAGAGCTGATAACAGAGTTGTACAGTTTAACTTTGGGACAAAGAGTGGTCACAGCTCCTAACTTTTATTTTAGATAACGATGAAAATTAAGACTGAATGGAAAAAACTATGAAAAAATCATGATCTAATAATGTAATGGTACAAAGTAATAACAGAGGTTTTGCTGACAAACTGATAAAACCAAACCGGTTTACTCCTTTCATTCCAACGAAACAAACTGGGATGAGAAATCATAATATTCATATTTAGTCTTAATAAATATTATTTATTCCCAGTAGGAATACATGATTAAGCCTCCACAAAATGTTTCTTAATTAGTCCAAATATCAACATGTTTGAAGGATGAAGTTAATGTTAAACATACATTTAGCACAATCTGCCTTGCAATTATCATTCAAAACAATTTATTCATTTTTTTAAGATTTAAGAAAGTGAATCTTGCATTAAACATTATATTTTATTCGTAAAAACAGACCTTTTTGAAAGTCCCATGATTACAGATAATATGTTATTCATGACTTAAAATAAGGGCGGACTTAAACCTGCAGGATGTAACATGGATACCTTGAACAGGGAGATAGCAGTTGAACCACCAAGGTTAGTGCAATTAATGTTAGTAAGCATAGTATTGAAAGTTTAGGAAAATCTTAGATTTGTACTTATTTATTTTATTTATCTAATAATTTTTCTCTTAGTAAAAAATGTGCTGATCTTATACAATCATGTTAATCAACAAAAAATATCTCCACACAATCCCAACAAAAATTAGCTGCAGTTGTGGCTCTATTTTTTTCTGATCCAAATAAAGTGATGATAAGAGTATTGGACTGAAGCTAAAAGATTGATGTGAGACTTACAATCACTGCAACATAAAGGCTGTTCTGCTAAGTTGCTAGAAGAAATGTGCTGATATTTACCCATGGGTGGATTTAGGAAATTTGGGCGCCCTAGGCAAAGGCCGGTAGGGGGCCCTCTGAATTGAGAAGACAACACATAAAAGAGGCCCATTATACAGATACAGAAACTTTAATAGAATAGACATACATTATTTTTTCTGCATTTTGTCCCTCTCTTCTTGTAACTTTTCTTTCTTGTTGTTTTCCTCTAGATGTTTTGTACTCAGCTGACTTTTCCTGTAGACTCAAAAGGAATGAGAATAATTTTTTTCAAGCACTAAGCTAAGCCGATGGCTCCTTCATGTGTTTCCTAAGAGGCGACAGCAAAAGTAAATAACCCAGTCCTTCTTTTCACTGTAGACCAGCCATGATCTGCTTATCTGTTCTCCATTTTTCATTTGAATGAAATAATACCTGCGTGAATCATGACAGCAGACAAGATAGAGGAGAGCAGGAGGCGGGGTTACCGATCTACTTGCTCTAGAGAGCAGAGTTCGCTGCTTTTAGATGTTGTTGCCAAAGTCTCCAGTAGCAGAAAAAAGATTTTGCACTAGGCTTTTTTTTTTTTTAAATAAAAGTGGTAAAGGGGTCTGAAAAGTTGCTAAATATAGCGACAAAAGCGCTAAGTTTGCAACACTGCTCTTCGCAACGTTTGTTTTCAAATGGTTTGCTGCTGTCTGTTTGTTTGGACTTTTATAAACAAGTGCAACAAATGGACTGATCCAATGTGGTGGATACTGAAGGGGGGGTAGGAACTTGGGTCCCTAGTCAAATGCATAGCCTAATGGTAAATCCCCCCCCCCCAGCGTTTACCTTGTACATGGACCAACAAGGCTGGAGACAAAATAAAAATTAGAGCATCTACTGAATTCAAATCAATGCAGATTTGAGTCAAAAAGTTAAAAAAAATCATTTCACACACAAAGGGGTGGGGGCTAAAAAAAATCACCACGCCAGGAGGGGTAAAAGCAATCAGGTCAGCTGGCACACACATGAGGTGCCCCTTTTTTTTCAAGAAGTTGACAACCCTAGTCGCCAGTGTTCTCATACGACTACCAACACAGAAACTTAGATATGAGAAATAATAAAACAGTTATAAAAGATCTTAAATCTTTTAGATTATCTACATAGATGTGAAGCTCTCTTTTACTCATACCATGTTCAAAAGGAGTGATAGAAGACGAGGACATCTGCTTGTATGTCTTAAAAAGTTTAT